ACCGGTGGCTATTTTAAGGATTGAAGAGGCTGTGTCTCAACACCTAGCATGATGTCTGATACAGAGCAGACACTCAAAACTTGTTATTTTCCTCTCCTACTGCTTGTCACTGTGTCTGTTTTAGCTTTCCTTTCAAAAGGAGGGATTCAGCTTCGCAAATACAATCTGGCATTTTCTCCCAGAATTTAAGGAGGTTTCGCCTAAAACATTTTAAAATACAGGTCATCTTTGGACTAGCCTTGCTTGTGTTTAAATTTTAACAAAAGCCTCCAACTGAGATCAAAGAAATGTTCCCCTGGGCTGTGGTGGATACTCAGTTGCCATCCAATGTTAGGGTCACAGGGTTGATGACCTAACTTTAAACGAACTATACACAAGTCAGAACAATCCTAAACATAGTATTTACTTGCCCAACAACCTTTTTTAGTATTCAGTCTGATCCACATGGGTTACATAACATTATACCAGTCCAGAAATACTTTGGGTATTGAATTTCAATTGGTCTTCCACATTGTGAAACAATTGTTTAGGCAGAAAGATTAAAGGTAGTCACTGACATAAATGACTAATAACAGTAGTCCCAATAATACTTTTTTAAACAAAAAGCAAATGTTGGAATTCATTGGGGAGTCTTTTTAAAAAGAGAGAGAGAAAGAGTCGAGCAAGCTCTGGCTTCCAATATGTGTTACTCTTTTTACCATTAACTTTCACATTAAGAAAATTGCTGATTTCAATTCTGATTTTTTTTTTTTTTACTGACTTAAAAGTCCACATAGGTTTTCAATATTAAAGTATTACCAAAATCCAAATTCTAAGCTAGACCATCTATGGACTATTTTTGTTCAGCTTAATATTTCAAAGTTAATAATTTCTGATTGTGGCATTATAAAAATAAATCAATTAATTGCAAAAATCCCTTGTGACCTGGCAATATGGCCTACTGAGTACACAGTTCTGACAGCAAAATGTGGCCAATGCCCACTGTTGAAAAAAATAAGACAATATTAGGCACATACATACACATATTAATACTATATAATATTACTGTACTATATGGTACTATGCTTACACTTAGAACAATGAGTGAAAAACTTAAAAATAATGTGTTATTGTTAAGATTTAGGAAGTAAGAGCCCATGGGATGGCAAAATCAGTGTGGGTGGGAGTTGTCAAGAAAGGTTTCATGAATGAGTTAGGAATTCATCAAGGCTTTGGGGTGGAAAGTTAAAAACTCTTAGGATAAGGTAGGACATTTTAGCAGGAGGTTTTATTAATAGCGTGGAGGGTAGTAGGTATAGTGGCACCAGATTACAATAGGCCTTACACTTTCCGCATACGCATTAATTATATTTTTTAGATGGAGAATTATCAATGACACTGAATTACAGATTCTTTTTAAATGACTTCTTTTATTAGAGAGAAGAAAAGCCAGGAAGAGTGCCGGGGTTAAGAGAGAATATGTGGGCTCAACACCTTTTGATGCTAATTTCTGAAATAAGATATCTAAAAATTATTGTAATCATTTTGGGAAAAGCCATTAATAGGTCAGAAAGATCAGAGAAAAGAATGACATTTTATAATAATAAAAAAATTTAATTTGCTCTTGACTGCAAATATTTTTTCAATAAAAACTTGGGAGCATGAAGAACCTTTGGAGCTGCTCAAATGGTACTCTATTATCATATGAGATGATTTCATATTGCTATGAAAAATATTCAAGCATTTTTTTAAAAGGCAAAAAAAAAAGACTCTTAAATCTTCCCCCAACTTTTCTACTTTATTTCTCAGAAGACTTACTTTTAATTAAAACCTAGAAAAGGTCTAGTTAAATAGCTAGAAAGATATCTATCTATATTTATAGATTTATATCTATATATATTTATATACAGTCAACCCTCAGTATTCATGGGGTCTTGGTTCCAGGACCTCCTGTGGATACTAAAATCCACAGATGCTTAAGTCCCTGATATAAAATAGTACAGCATTTGCATATGACCTAGTACATCCTCACATGCACTTTAATTCATCTCTAGATTACTTATAATACTTAGTACAACGTAAATGCTATGTAAATAATTGTTATACTGTATTGTTTAGAGATTAATGACAAGAAAAAAAGTGCATATTTTTAGTACACATGCAGTTTCAAAAAAAATATTTTTTAGCCATAGTTGGTTGAATCCACAAATGCAGAACTCACGGATATAGAAGGTTGACTATACAGATATATATATATATACATATATATATACACACACACATATATATATAAAACTAGACATATATATATTTAATCTACCTTTTAAAATTAAAATCCCAATACTGTTACAGAAAGCTCTATAAATATAAGTAATGCTGCATTTGGTAAAATTTTGTACTTTCATTCAAATCTTTTCCTGTTTCCCTTCTTTCCCCCTTTTTGGACACACAGTGTGTCATAGATTCCCAGTGCTGGATTTCTCTGAAGTTCATTTTAAAGTTATGTTATTTTAGTGAAGGCTCCCCAGGCCTATGTTGGGTCAGACCTGTTTCCAACATACCAATTTGCCATCTGTGTCTTTACATTCTGTTGTAGTGCCCTAGCCCCAGCCCTGAACTATTATACAAAAAGCTTTGCTGCTTCCCACTCACCCACCCGCAATAATGCTGTTTCCTCATATAAAAGCAGCTGGGCTTGTACTTCCACCCCCGTCTACCACCCCCCTTTGATATGTCCCTGCATTTATTTCACACTCCTCTCCAATATCATTAAGCTCTTAATTCTTCCTCTCAACATTCTCATTTTACAGCTTTGCAAACTAAGGCCCAAGGAAATTTGCATAATTTATATGAAAAATAAAGTCAGTCTGTTTTGAAATCAATTGACAGAACATACCCATGTGATTCTAGTTTCCAGTTCTGCTTTCCAATTCACCAAACTCAAAAAAAAGCCAAGTGAAAAGCCAGTTAACTGGTACATTTTCCCCTACCCAGGGTTTATTCATTTCAACTACTATTTCAAAGAACACATATATAATGTGACTCAGTTCTCTTAACCGTTCAAAACTTGGAGCTAATAAAAGCACTAATTCTTACTACCTAGCCATCTTTCAGGAAAGGCAATGGCAGGTTATAAACCCTACTAATTATAGCATAATATTTGGCCCCATGCAAGACCCTGGGGTGCTGTTTATATCCAACTACTCAGATCAGGTTCAAGGATTTGAAGTTCAAAGGAATGACAAGAAAGGTGCCACATAATCGACTCCACTGCTGCAAACCATGTCATGAGGCCTAAACACAAGTAAACGCACACACCTTTGCCCATCTCATTTGTATAACTTAGTGCATATGCATATCTTTAAAAGGATTTTTCTGTAAGAAAAAAAAAATCATTCCACTCATTTCCTCCCTACTCTGATCCCTATTTCTCAAAAGTCCAAGAAGTAACCCCACCCTCTCTCATAGAGGAAAGTGCCACTAACTCATATAACCCCAGCAAGGCATTGTCCAGCTTAATTACAGAGTGTTACAAAACAAACACTTGATAATACTCAACTTATAAAATAAAATCTGAGGCCTTATTGCTATAGTTTATTTTAAATTTTGCTTGCTTTCCCACCAATGTCATGCATGAGATTACCAAATCTTGCAAAACCAGTTATGTCTATGAGAAAGCACAGGGGAAAAGCATTGTCAGCAATCTCATCATCATCACACCATGAGCTAGTCCTTTGGGCTGGGACCTGACCCCAGCACACAGATAGGAGAAGTACAAGTCACCAAATGAAGATGGGACCGTTCTTGGAAAAGGGGGCAACAGTCACTGAAGACACAATCAAATGCCCAGGAGGTCACCTTCCAAGTATCTCCAACTCCCCTTAGGTCGTGACGTCTGAGGGCATTTCTTATGAAGCACTCCTCTGAGTGCAGGACTAAATAGCAAATTAATGCATTTGGAACGTGAAGTACAGAAGATGAGTACCCCCACTCCAGAATTGGGTCATAAAATAGTACCTTGCTCAGCTTTGGGTTTGGGACTGCAAAACCTTATATTCCCTGGATAAAAGTTATTTAACACTGCTTTCCAATTTCAAAATGGTGAGACCTATCATTACATCCCTTTCTAAGTTTCCAAGTGGTCCTACCACAACTGACCCCAATTTCCAGAGAGAAAAAACCTTCATTCTCCAAGTAATCCCACCATTAAAATCCTGACGTTGTGGTCACAAACAACCCCAAAACCATGACTATATCAGCTGGCTTCCAATTTAGACAGTCCCAGTGGTTCTCTTCTCTAACCTAGCTTCTGAACTGGGAATTACTGACCAAAAAAAGTCTACAAAATAATGAACTACAACTATGTATTTTTCAGTTCTTGTAGAGACAAAAAAAGATTTTTCATCAATGTTGAATTTATTAACCTCTACCTTCAAATTCTTCAAGTAAGCAAAAAGTAATTCACTAAATATTGAATTAGTTTGTTACATATATTTAGAACTTCTCTTCTAAAAATCATAAGGTTGATTAATGAACATTAAAATAGGCTATATTTTCAAAGCCCTCAGATTTATTCTGAAAAGGATTAAATTTAAGATATTACTTAACATAGGAAATTAAAATAAATTTAACTTATATAATTTAAAAATAAAATATAAATTAAAGAAATATGAAGGAAAGGAAGATGAAAGTATGAAAATAAAATAAAGCTAGGAGTAGTCCTGGCATTCTAAATTTATTCCAAGCATTTCTATATACAGTAAGTCCTCACCATGGTCAGTAGGTTCTTGGAAACTGCCACTTTAAGCAAAAGACATTAAAGGAAACCAATTTTCCCATAGGTTAATTGATATAAACAAGAGTTAAATTCCTTCCTATGGCCTATTTCTGATCACACACAAAAAAAATATCAAACTTCTAAATAAAGACCAAAACACTTCTAATATTAAGCACTGAAATAAATGTGATCTATACATGCATTTAAGAAAGATTAATAAAAAACAAGATAATTATCTACCCACTTCTCCTAGCTCTGGGTCTCAGGTGGCAGGAGCCTGTCCCGGCAGCTCAGGGCGCAAGGTGGGAGGCAGCCCTGGACGGGAAGTTATCGCATCACGGGGCGCGCTGACACACTCCCCCACACTCATTCACACTAGCACCGTGTAGACACGCCAACTCCCCTAAAAGGCACAGCTTTGGGACGTGGGAGGAAAGCAGAGTACCCAGAGAAAACCCACACAGACACAGGGAGAACGTGCAAACTCCACAGAGATAGTGGCCTCAGCCCAGAATCAATTTTTTTTTCTCATTAACATTAGAATGAAACAATGCTGTATTTGAGGATCTGCTGGAAGGCAAAAAATGAAACAGATAATTGGCTTTAAATTTTCCTTACAGAAAGGTAAAAGGAAAATGTGATCTCTGACAAGAATCTCAGTGTCCATAAGATAAAAACAAAGTGCTAGCAAAGGAGAAGCACAATGATACCCAATACGGAGAGCAAAGTTTTCTCTCCTGTCTTGAACCAAACTCTGCTCTGCAGGCTTTGGATGGACAGGCAGGAGGTGGCAGGGGGAGAGGGACAAGCTAGATGAGATCAGGTGAGAGTTCAGCTCCTCAGCTTCCTTTCAAGAAGAGCAGCTCTGCTTATTTTTATATAAGTGGCCTCTCTGTAAGATGTTATTTGGAATAAAAAGGGTTATGGGGCTCTATTTTAAACAACAAACCGACAACTGTTGACAGAGTTAGGTCCACAAGATGAGCCATTGAAGCACAGAGAAACATTGGAATTTCTCTGTATAAATAAATAAGTATATATTTAAATATGTTAAATATACTATATTAAATCTATAATTGAAGAGATATTAAATATATCATATAGTAGATATTAAAAATGTTAAGAATATAATAAATACATTAAAAATGAATTAAGCTCTCCTAATGCTTATTACATGCACTCTCACGGGTGCATTCTCTACATCCCAGGGCAGAGCTGTGCAGCATTCAGAGAGAAGAGGGGGAATCCCACCCCAGGGGAAGTGTTCACACTCAGTTCTTCACTTTCATCATATCGTGCAAGACTGCAGTGCACCTGGGCCTGGCTAAGTGGATTTACAAACAAGATTATATCGTTTTAACTGAATTCATTTACAAAATGGGCAAATGGCTTAAAAAGATCCCTGCAAAGAAAGCATGGATTAACAATAGCACTAATAATGGTAGCACATACAAACAAACAATAAATAGTAAAATTGACACTTCTATGGTTTTACTTTAATCAGCCATATGTTATAGGTAAAAACTGAAGATCTAATCAGATCTGAAAAAGAAGTGACAAAAATAAATCATACATACAAGGTTGAAATAATCAAGAAAACTACTAATAAAGTATCCATTATTGTTAATAATGAATTGAGTCCTAACTTTATATCGTGTGTATTAGATATCAGGTATTAAAATCAAATATAAAAATAAACTATTTAAGTTAAAACTCATCAAATTACATGCTTTACAACAGGCTGGTCCGATGGTAGTGGGTTATCAGAACTTATTAACATTAGTGTCACTAAAGTTGGTATGCAATCCCCTACTGCTAAATTTGACTGGCTTTAAAAATAAATAAATAAAATAAACAAAATGGCTGCAATTTATTGTATATAAATTATAACAGCAAGGCAAAAGATAATAAGCTACTTGGACACCAACCTGCACATCCCATATCACAAATAATAAAGCTAAAGTTAACAATGAAGCATATTTAATCACACTGCTCTCACTTAAAATATGATTATGTCATATGATTAAAAGAGTTTTATACAATAAAAAAATTAAAGAATTTATTTTAGCTTTATCTCATGCTATTAAAATGTCTGTTTTTGTAAGTGCTTTGATTATGCTTGATAAGAGTACAGAACACATGGATATAAATTATAAATAAATATATATATAGGGAGTATTGAGTATATAGGGCTCAAATTTTTTTACCAGTGTTGTTTCACTAATATAGAGGAAATCATGAAGTATATAAAGTGGAAAAGCTTGGAAACTATTTTGATAGATCCTTGGAGAAAGGGAATATCAGCAGCAGTGACAAGCACCTTATCTTGGCTTCTTCCCCAGACCCCTCCCTTTTTTATTCCTCTGTCCCTATACTATAGTAAATGTACTCTTATAATGTACATAGTCTAGGAAATTATTTGTTTTTAATAAATCATTAAAACCTCTGTTATAAGGAATAGCAAACATTGCCTCTTCTACTCCAAGAGGGTTCCAATAACAATATAAAGTGATGACATAAAGTGTAATATACCTAAATTATTAATATAAATTATCTTAGCATAATTCACATTAAATTTAATTTGTGACCTTTCATCTAAACCACTCTGCTTGATGAGAATCTCTGGTATGTCTTTTCAGCCTTCTCAAATGCTTACTCTCCAGAATGGGGCTTCCACAGACCAAATTTGTCACCTGCTCCCTGTTTTATTAACCCAATCATGAACACATTAAATATTGAGTCCCTTGAGCAAAAGCCTCACGTAGCCAATTCTCAGGGCTTCAATCAATGAAGAGCTTTGGTTATGGGTTTGTCTTACAAGGCTTGTGGACAGATAATGAACAAGAAGACAGTGAAGTAAGCCAGAAAAAAGAAAGGGAGAGAGAAGAAAAGGGAAAATAAAATCTGGGAGTGGGCTCTGTGTACACACTGACAAAAATCAAAGCCTCTTCCTCGTTCCACATCTCAGGATCACACTATCCTGGAAACTTGTCTTCTGGGAACTGGGAAGTGAAGGCAGGGAGCTAAAGTTCAGAGAGGAGGCAAAAACTCTTGCCAAGTTATAGGTCAAAGCTCTGGAGGAGAAACTGATTTGAGTGAAAGATGAAACCCTACTCTCAGGGCATCTGGGGCTTCCTACTCTGATCTAGCCTAAATTTTGGAAATGTCAAAAAGACGACCATATTTCAACCACGTAGGACAGTCAGAGGAAAATGAAGCCATAATAATGCTTTTAAGCACATGCAACAATTTCACATTCACAAAATTACACTGCAGCATTCCAGAATTTTTTAAATGCAATTAATATAAAATCATGGCAGAATTTAGAAACCTACTACCTACTCTCTTTCACCTGTCAAATCAAGGTGTGATGATAATAATCATCCTATATCTTTCTTCATTTTCTTTAACAGTAAAAGTGATATAAAATTATTTCCCCAACTCATGATATGACATAATCAAAGAGAATTCTAGATATGTAGCTCTGACTCCAACCTTGTCTCCTCAAAAATGTAAATTTAACAGGGTAAGTTGACTATGCAATAATGTTTTAATTAACATGAAAACTGATTTAATATTTTAGATAAACAAGGATATGACATGTTAAAGAAAAAAAAAGGCCATGGAATGTTGAGACTGATAAGCAATTGTAGAGACGCTTTCCAATGGCTTTTTCGAAAACTTGAGACGCCTTCCTTTTCAGATCACATGTATTAACCATTCTCACTGTACAAATATTACTCACAACTACTGCTCTCAAAGTCTATACCAACTCAGAACAAAAAGAAGAAAGACAATATATTTAAGAGCCAAAAAAAAAAAATCTTCAGTAATTTTTGTGAGAAAAACTGGAAAACTTTGGTAAAATGGAAAAAATTCAGCTTATATCCAAGGTGGTAGCTAGAATTCAGACCCTGCACAAGCTTGACCCCAAGTCTGTCTGAGAGACAAAGCACACTCCACAAAGGGCACCAGCATCTTAGGAGTGCCGATTTCATTTCCAGCACGTCGAAGAGAATAAGAATGGATGCGCTTTCATCTTGATTTTTACCATTTAAAGGTCAAAAGCAAATCTGACAAGAAAAGAATGGCTTGAGTTCTTCAGTTTAGAGAAATGCAAATCGAAAGTACAGTAAGACACCACCTCACATCGATTAGGATAGCTACTATCAATAAAAATAATTTTTTTAAATAACAAATGTTGGTGAGGATATGGAGAAATGGGAACCATTGTGCACTGTTGTTGAGAATGTAAAATGGTACAAACCAGTTTGGAAAAGAGTATGGCAGTTACTCAAAAAATTCAAAATAGAATTACCATATGATCCAGCAATTCTATTTCTGGGTATATACCCAAAAGAAGTGAAAACAGAGTCTCAAAGAGATATTTGTACACCTATGTTCATAGTAGCGTTATTCCCAATATATAGAACATGGAAGCAACCCAGGCATCCACTGACAGATGAATGGATCACAACAATGTAGTATATCCACACGATGGAATATTATTCAGCCTTAAAAAGGAAATTCTGATATATGCTCCAACATGGATTAACCCTGAGAACATTCTGGTGAGTGAAATAAGCCAGTTACAAGAACACAAATACTTATGATTCCAATGACATGCAGTACTTAAGAGTAGACAAAATCATAGAGACAGACAGTAGAACAAAGGTTACCAGGGGCTAAGGGGAGGAGGAATGGGGAGTTGTTATTAATGGGCACAGAATTTCAGTTTTGCAAGATAAAAAGAGTTCTGGAGATGGATGGTGGTGATGTTTGCACAACATTATGGATGTATTTATCACCAATAAAATGTACACCTAAAAGTCGTTCAGGAGGTAAATTTTATGTTATGTATATTTTACCGCATTAAATATATTAGGAAAAAAAGAGATGTACTTGACAAAACTATTATTCTCTCATATCCTACTTTGCCACTTTTTCACTTTTACCTTCCTTTATTTCACACAAATGCATACCTATCAATATAAAAGGGAAAAGACAGAGTTAAAAATTACTCCTCTTCTCCCCATCTGCAGATGTCTTTCCCACAAAGTGACAATGACCACACATGTGCAAATGAGCATCTCCAATAATTATCACTTTGGATTAATCCGTGGCTACAGCCCCACATGGAGAAGTGACTGCTGGACACACTTTGGGAACAGCTGCATCCTGCCCTGGCTGGCCTGCCCAGTGCCCTCAGGACTGCACAGTTGGGTCACACGACCAGGCCATCTCGGAATTAATCCACACAGACATCCATAGTCAATAAGAGAAGAACAGCCACGCTGGAAAAGACTGGCCCAGAGTCCCAGGCCTTGGTTCACCAGGTAGCTCAAGAAAGATGCCCAGGAAGAAGCAGCAAACCAGCCATTCCTTCACGGGAGCTGAGCCCCAGGCCTGCTACATACTTGTCTCCTGCCTTCTGTCCCCCTACCTTTCTATGTAATGCAGAACAAGGGTCAGCACATCCAGAAAATGCTCCATAAGCTCTCTCTGGCCACTTAAAAAAAGTCTTTTCAAAAACACACTCCAATTTTTTCCTTTATAAAGAATTATAAATGCAACTGATTCATAGCAGCACTTGCCAAATTCTGTTTTGTAGAAAAATATTCTCGGAAGATGTTAATAATGTTCCACATTAAAAAAAAAAAAGGTATACATGATTTTTAAAATGTCAACAGGTTCCTTTGCTGGAGAAGTTCCCAGTATCTTTATTGTGGGAATTTTCACTGGAAATCTTCGGAGGGGAATAAAATGATGATGGTGGTGGTGATGGAAACGTTTTCCAAGTGTTGAACCGAAGCCAGACCAACATTATCTCATTTTTTTACAGACATTATCTCACTTACTTCTCATAGCAGATATCTATGCAGTAGGTATAATTATGTAGTGTATAGATAAGGAAACTGAGGCTTAGGCAGGTCATGACAATACAGTTAAGTAGCACAGCAGGAACTTAAAGCCACGTCTGACTTCAAAGTGCATTTTTTTATTCATTCATTCAGTAAACTAGTAAATATTTACTGTGTATAGAACACTAATATGTATTGTGT